TGGGGAGAATGGAGGGGAAAAAAAGGTCCAATTAAAGACCAAATCCCGCGCGACTGGGGCTTGGGAGGTGCCGCAGCCGCTCCAGGCCATTTTCGGGAGAATCCAGGGGAAAAAAGGTCAATTAAAGACCAAACCCCGTTCGACTCGGGCTTGGGAGGTGCCGGAGCCGCTCCGGGCCATTTTAGGCGAATCCAGGGCAAAAAAGGTCCCATTAAAGCCCAAATCCCGCTTGACTCGGGCTTGGGAGGCACTGGAGCTGCTCCGGGCCATTTTAGGGCAAATCAACGGCTAAAATAATCCAATTAAAGCCCAAACCCCGCTCGACTTCGGCTTGGGAGTTGCCAGAGCCGCTCCGGGCCGTTTCAGGGTGAATTGAGGGCAAAAAAGGTCCCATTAAAGCCCAAATCCTGCTCTACTCGGGCGGTGCCGGAGCTGCTCCGGGCCATTTTAGGGCAAATCAAGAGCTAAAAAGGTCCAATTAAAACCCCAAACCAGCTCGACTCGGGCTTGGGAGGTGCCGGAGCCGCTCCGAGCCATTTTTGGGAGAATCGAGGGGAAAAAAGGTCCAATTAAAGCCCAAATCCCGCTCAACTTGGGTTTGGGAGGCACCAGAGCTGCTCCAGGACGTTCTAGGGTGAATTGAGGGCTAAAAAGGTCATATTAAAGCCCAAATCCCACTTGACTCGGGCTTGGGAGGCACCGGAGCCACTCCCAACCATTTTGGGGAGAATCAAGGGGAAAAAAGATCCCATTAAAGCCCAAATCCCGCTTGACTCGGGCTTGGGAGACACTGGAGCTGCTCCGGGCTATTCTAGGGAGAATTTAGGGCAAAAAAGGTTCAATTAAAGCCCAAATCCCGCTCGACTTGGGCTTGGGAGTTGCCAGAGCCGCCCCGGGCCGTTTCAGGGTGAATTGAGGGCAAAAAAGGTCACATTAAAGCCCAAACCGTGCTCGACTCGGGCTTGGGAGTCGCCAGAGCTGCTCTGGGCCATTTTAGGGTGAATCGAGGGCTAAAAAGGCCCCATTAAAGCCCAAATCCTGCTCTACTCGGGCGGTGCCGGAGCTGCTCCGGGCCATTTTAGGGCAAATCAAGAGCTAAAAAGGTCCAATTAAAACCCCAAACCAGCTCGACTTAGGGTTGGGAGGCGCCGGAGCCGCTCCGGGCCATTTTAGGGTGAATTGAAGGCAAAAACGGTCGCATTAAAGCCCAAATCCTGCTCAACTTGGACTTGGGAGGCACCGGAGCTGCTCCAGGTCTTTTTAGGGTGAATTGAGGGCAAAAAAGGTCCCATTAAAGCCCCAATCCCAGTCAACTCAGGCTTGGGAGTTGCCGGAGCTGCTCCAGGCCATTTTAGGACAAATCGCAGGGAAATGCATCTTTCTTCCACTGCTCCCTGTGTATTTCAGGTGAAATTCGGGTTTCTGGTTAGTTTGAGCCAATTCAGACCCCCACGAGCACAATATAGCTATTAAAAACACATTCTCACTTAACATTTTGGAAGCGTATTTGCAGCTGCAGCAATATTTCAGGTGTAGATTTTTTTTTAATCTCCTTTAAATCACATTTTTTTAGTCTCCTTTAAAAGGAGACTGAAAGATATATACAAAATATATTTTTGCTTCATCTGAAGCAAAACCTGCGTTTCCCTTTGACAAATAATTGCAAATTCCAGCTAAGGGAAAGCTTTTGCCACAGGGAGGCTTCAGCTGGAAAAGGCCATTAGAAAGCTAAACAGAAATTATTTTTATTTCAAAGTACGGTGAAAAGGGGAAACACACTTTTTTTTTTTTATTAAGATTTCCAATTCTGTGAATATAATGCCAAAACAAATTATTTTTATTTCAAAATACGGTGAAAAAGGGAAATGTAGGTATGTATTTTTTTAATATTTTGAATTCTGTGAATGAGGACAATGCATGGTTAATGTACAGAACATTTACTGCATTCAGCTCTGACCACTTTGCTGACAGCCCCATCAGAATGGGTTAGAGATAGATACAAAAAAACCACATTTTTTGCTTAAAAAATGCACTTGCGCTGTAGCTTTCACAGGACATAAACCCACAGATTAATGTCCAGATTAAGAAAAGATTCCCCCACTTGCAAGGCAGGTAATATAAATTAAACTGCAGCTACAGGACAAGGACGCGGCGTTATCCATTCCAAAACTCCTGTTTCTCCGAGCCTGGGGAAACCACATGCAATTATTGGGAATTTGGGGCTCCTTATTTTAAAGGAAAGCAACCACGAAGCTGATATTTGCCTTTACGGCCTGGCAGCATGGGATAAAATGATATATATGATACTGGATACACATCGGGAAGGGTATAAAAATATATATTTTTATACCTTTCTCTGGAGCAGATATCCCTCCTTTTAAAAGGCGAGGTAACATTATAACAACTTTAGTTAAGGTCCAGCATTAGCAGCATCTTTTGTATTTCCTATTTTTTTATATCTCCAGGGAAACACTGCGATACAAATTAAAGGCATTTCTCACTAATTAAATGAGATTTTAAGAGGCGACTGGAGGTGATTTTTAGCCATCCAGACCAATCGTCATTAATTACGGTCCTTTTTTTTTTGTGGCTAAAGCTTGGGGTGAAATATAGAGCAAACGGGGTAGGGAATTTCTTGCCTCCAACGCTGCCTTCCGAATCCTCGCTCCGCCGGGACGCTGGGCTGGATGGCATTTCCCTCGGATTTGTTCTAGCAATTTGTGGTTGCCCGGGTGTTTATTTGTAATTAACTTCTGTGGTGTTTTGTAAACACGTCGGAGGGAGAAGCCAAGGGCATTCTCTCCAACATGAGGCGATGGGGGGAAAAAAAAGCGTGTTATGGATTAAATGAACCTTTATATTAATGAATGGTCATGAGAAAGGAGAATTCACTGCAATATTTTCATTTAAAGGGCGCAGAAGGTCTGCTAGGAGGCAGTATGGAAGCAAATGCAACCCTTTTCCCTGTCCACCGACCCTTTGGGAAGCCCCAAAAGTCTGCGTGGCTCCATAACGGCTCCAAGAGCACAGAGAAAATCATGGGAAAAAATCAAGCGGCCTCTGGGTTTTTGCCAGAAAATTCCAGCTTGAA